AGAAGATAAACATAAATATAAATCAGTTTCAAACCTGCTCTGTAAGCATCACTGCTTGAGCTTTCTATTCCACTTAGGGAAGTTGTATCTTTAATACTAGTCTCTCTGAGACCCGGTTGCGACAACCAATAGACATAATCTTAGGAGCTAGCCTAGGAGGGTCAAGCACTCTAAGACGTAGAAGCTCTCTGAGCTTGTCTTCCTCTGCACCTAGTGCATAAGTAGCGTAGCTACAGTAGCTTGGCTACATCTGCTATAGGTCTTATTACGACGCTGAACTTTTTGTTTTAGAGTGAAACGTTAGTTGTCTTGTTTTTACGTTACACGGCTTAAGGCTACTAATATAAGCTTAACAATCTCACCATAATATAGACAAGTTATATGAATACAACTTGGCCCTACGAATATCAACCCATTGTTATCTCAATATTTAGATCAAAGTTTTTAGTACGAGTGTATTCCTATTGTACCTGTATTATTTACAAATGCAGGAATAGTCTACCGTACGTTAAACAGTAAATCATACTAAATCATACTGTTTAACTTGGGGTAGACAACTCCTGCATTTGTAAAAATTACAACACAGTATACACTACGATCCGGAAGCTTTATTTCCTTCCACACTAAATTTAAGTAAGTGTAATCCTCCTACATGGTCAAATTATGTCTTTGAAGAAATTTCTTCCTCCAGGGCGCTGAAGCCGCAAAGTGAGCATTATCAATACCTAGCTCTTTTGCCACCTCCAATGCATGCTCAGACAGCATGGCACCTGTCACGGGTACGCCCAGCCTCTGCAGCGAGCGCAACCATACTACAACGCACTTTTCAGCATCCTCACTAAGTGTAAGACCGAGACCTGGCTTACGCAGTCGATGCGCCTTGGCGGTATTCACTGACTCGCACGCCTTCTCAATCTTGTCACGGTTTTTGACCCAGCCGTAGATGACGCGCTTCTTACTGCGTTTGGCCTGCACCGTTAGCGTCGGAAAGATGCTCTCCACTGTCGTCGCCATATCACCACTTTCTTCAAATTGCTTGATGGCCGCCAGACGCATCTCGAACGATGCGGACGTGCGGATGTTTTTGCGCTCCTTGCGTCCGCCTCCCTCCTTCAACGGCTGCCGCCCCATAACTGTGTTTTTATTCGTTATTAAGTAAACAATTATTCCATAAATATATGTATATATATTCAGCCTAATTTCAAACCTTAAAATCAATGCAACTCTACTTTATATCGACTTAAATAGTGATTAAGCTTTTCCAAGTAGGATGAAGAAATGCTGTGTCTTTCCAGCATAAAATAGCGGCGTAAAAAAGCGCAAAACATTTTGGGTACTTTTGTACATAATGGACACAAGTTTCCTAAACTCTTGTGGTTAGAGTTTTCAAAGCATTATATCCAGGTACTGAGCAAAATCAATGCAAAAATCTAAAATGTGCAGGTATACTGGCGCTGCTGCTTGACAGGCTCAAGGCTTGCAGAGAAAGAAAGCAAAATTCTTTCAGTAAAAAAAAACTGAGGTAGCCTGGTCGATTCTGCCGCGTGTTGTGCTAGACGTCGGATGAGCGAACGACTTGCTTTGCACTAACTATCAGGTTGTGACGTCCTGAGTGAGGTTAACCCACCTTCATCACAATGACTGTCAAGTGTACATATGACTGAGCAGGTCGCGCACAAAAAGTTATTGTCTGTGTGGCTTGCGTATGCTCCCTGCTCCATATGCTAACGTAACGACATGACTCCACGTAGCGGCGGCCTGCGGTAGGTCTCGAGAAATGAAGCATTACTTAAGAAGGCTGATGTAATTATCGTCAGTGGCTACCGGTCTAAGTACTGCAGCTAACGGAAAGGTATATTCGGAACTTTGCCTTGTCTTATGCAGCAGTGGCAACACCAGCGTGAACATATCAGCAGCACCAACACTTTTGTAGCAACAACCAGCTCAGTGCTACATGGGAGGAAGGCAGAACAACTGCGAAGGCATGATGCAGGCATCGTCTGATCGGCAAAAATATCGTGACGGCCGGTCGAGGACGGCTACTGTTGTGAGGTGGCTGCCAACCAGTACGCTGAAGCCGGTTCTGGCTTCGCAGTGCGACCCTAAGAAACACGCGATAGCATGAAAAGGCAGGCACTCTTTATTTTTAGCTTCTACGACTAACATTTTTGTGGTTGCAAGAGAAAAAGTTTTTGGGTGAATAGACAAAATGATGTTTAACTTTATTTAAAAGTAAGTGCCACAAGAGCCTAAGTCGGATACCTCATCAAAAGCACGAAAAGTGCACAAAATTAACCAAGACTGACACAAGCGTGAGATTTACACCAATAAACTTCGTCTCATCTTGTACTCTTTGCCACAGCACTTGCTGCCTCGGTACACTTGCAGTCACCTTATTAAGTTTTGTAATGATACTTCGTTCTAAATTACTGAAGCTTGAACTCAATCTCCTGCGACTGTAGCGGTTTTGTCGACACCATAACAATCATAACGTAAGTCGTTATAAATAAACCACGCAACACAAACATATGGAGATACAAACACGAACAATCTACCCTCACTTGCCACGTTGTGCGTAACATCGTTGTTAACGGTGATGAGCAAGTCGCACGCGAGTGCTGCCGTGTCAGACATGACCGGTTGCTTTTACACCATGGTACATACTAGTTGCATGTTACTGTAGTAGCATAAGAACGTGGAATAAATTGTTAAGGAAGCTATGTAGTGTGAAGTTTGTGTCAAACGTCAAGGAAGCAAGTGATGAGCCTCATACAGTGTCAGGAAAGTTGTAATCTTTGAGCAATGATGACATATTCGCCGTCATGCAATAGCAATTGATTACTGACACAATAAGATGACCAAGACACATACGTTCTCAGAGTCATGCGTCTGAATGTATCACATCCCGTCGCTCAGTCACATGGTCAAAGTATTATGTTGAGCTTTACCGCTTCTCCATCATGTCAAAACGGTCATTTCGACCATCACTCTACCTCCCACTTCGAGCGTCTTCAAGACTTGCCTTGGAGTGAAATGTCGTGACGGAGAAGGCCTGGATAACATCACAATCACGACACGGAGCTCATTCATCAACTTGCGAGCAACAAACTAGCGTCCCGCCACCACTACCGACTTTCCAATTTACCATGAAACCTGCCGCTACATTCGCGACATTCCTGGCGCTGAGCATGTTTGTTGCAACGGATAGTGCGCCAAATGCACCTGTACTTCGTAGCCTACGTATGAACGCGGACATACCCGCGGTCAAAGAAGATACCGATGAAAGCAGGAAGGACCACCACCATCACCATGTTAAGAAAGTCAAGAAAATCGCGATTCCTGTCCCTGTAGAGGTACCGCAGATCATTCCTGTTCCCGTCAGCATCCCTTCTACAGTGGTGGCCAGCTCCGACACTGCCGTCGTTGACTCCACCACGAATGTCGTCTCCAACAACGTCGCCGCCACCGATGTTGTTGCCCCAGTTGCATTAGGGACCAACGTGGCACCGGTACCTGGAGCTGCCACGCCAGCTCCGACGAGTGTAAATGGACGTCCAGCCGCAGCTTCTGCGGCAACGGTGACCCGGCCATCAAGAGCCACGCCAGCACCAACAAGAAGCTTTGCTAGTGTTGGTCCATCTAGATCGCAACAGCCAGGAGCTGCCTCAGCCGTCCCTCAGTCTGGTGACGTAGGTATGGCCGGGGGCTCCATCGCCGCCAGGTTTCGGAAATAACAACAATGCGCTTGGAGCTGGACTCGGCGCTCCAGGTGCTGCTGGTGGACTTCTTGGAAACACCGGTGGGTTTGGCGGAAATACCATGGGCGCCCTCGGTGGTGGCTTCAACGGCGGTGGCAATCGAATGCCAGGTTTCGGTGGTCGTGGTGGTGGTTTTGCTGGTGGTAGTAATATGTTCGGTGGAGCTGGTGTTGGCATGGGTGGCTTCAACGGGAATGGTGCAAGTGGATTCGGACAGCAGATGGGGTTCGGTGCACAAGGTGGAAATGGGTTTGTTGGGATCGGAGGACAGGGTGCAAGGGGGAACTTTGGTCAGAGTGGCAACAATGGGTTCATCGGTGGCCAGACTGGATTTGGAGGTGCCGGTACGGCTAGTGGCAATGCGTTTGGTCGTGAAGGCTTTAATCGCCGCGAGCGTCAGCGTCGTCGTTGACGGACAAGAGGTACAACCCAGCTTTGGCTACTGCTTATTTGTTTCGTTGAGCACGTAAGCAGCAAATTGTAATATTGTGTATCTTTCAAATACAACCGACACCAATGTTATTTGCGAGTTACATGTTACTGTAGTAGCATAAGAACGTGGAATAAATTGTTAAGGAAGCTATGTAGTGTGAAGTTTGTGTCAAACGTCAAGGAAGCAAGTGATGAGCCTCATACAGACAGTGTCAGGAAAGTTGTAATCTTTGAGCAATGATGACATATTCGCCGTCATGCAATAGCAATTGATTACTGTAATATCGTGCTGATATCATGTCCTACACAATAAGATGACCAAGACACATACGTTCTCAGAGTCATGCGTCTGAATGTATCACATCCCGTCGCTCAGTCACATGGTCAAAGTATTATGTTGAGCTTTACCGCTTCTCCATCATGTCAAAACGGTCATTTCGACCATCACTCTACCTCCCACTTCGAGCGTCTTCAAGACTTGCCTTGGAGTGAAATGTCGTGACGGAGAAGGCCTGGATAACATCACAATCACGACACGGAGCTCATTCATCAACTTGCGAGCAACAAACTAGCGTCCCGCCACCACTACCGACTTTCCAATTTACCATGAAACCTGCCGCTACATTCGCGACATTCCTGGCGCTGAGCATGTTTGTTGCAACGGATAGTGCGCCAAATGCACCTGTACTTCGTAGCCTACGTATGAACGCGGACATACCCGCGGTCAAAGAAGATACCGATGAAAGCAGGAAGGACCACCACCATCACCATGTTAAGAAAGTCAAGAAAATCGCGATTCCTGTCCCTGTAGAGGTACCGCAGATCATTCCTGTTCCCGTCAGCATCCCTTCTACAGTGGTGGCCAGCTCCGACACTGCCGTCGTTGACTCCACCACGAATGTCGTCTCCAACAACGTCGCCGCCACCGATGTTGTTGCCCCAGTTGCATTAGGGACCAACGTGGCACCGGTACCTGGAGCTGCCACGCCAGCTCCGACGAGTGTAAATGGACGTCCAGCCGCAGCTTCTGCGGCAACGGTGACCCGGCCATCAAGAGCCACGCCAGCACCAACAAGAAGCTTTGCTAGTGTTGGTCCATCTAGATCGCAACAGCCAGGAGCTGCCTCAGCCGTCCCTCAGTCTGGTGACGTAGGTATGGCCGGGGCTCCATCGCCGCCAGGTTTCGGAAATAACAACAATGCGCTTGGAGCTGGACTCGGCGCTCCAGGTGCTGCTGGTGGACTTCTTGGAAACACCGGTGGGTTTGGCGGAAATACCATGGGCGCCCTCGGTGGTGGCTTCAACGGCGGTGGCAATCGAATGCCAGGTTTCGGTGGTCGTGGTGGTGGTTTTGCTGGTGGTAGTAATATGTTCGGTGGAGCTGGTGTTGGCATGGGTGGCTTCAACGGGAATGGTGCAAGTGGATTCGGACAGCAGATGGGGTTCGGTGCACAAGGTGGAAATGGGTTTGTTGGGATCGGAGGACAGGGTGCAAGGGGGAACTTTGGTCAGAGTGGCAACAATGGGTTCATCGGTGGCCAGACTGGATTTGGAGGTGCCGGTACGGCTAGTGGCAATGCGTTTGGTCGTGAAGGCTTTAATCGCCGCGAGCGTCAGCGTCGTCGTTGACGGACAAGAGGTACAACCCAGCTTTGGCTACTGCTTATTTGTTTCGTTGAGCACGTAAGCAGCAAATTGTAATATTGTGTATCTTTCAAATACAACCGACACCAATGTTATTTGCGAGTTGCATGTTACTGTAGTAGCATAAGAACGTGGAATAAATTGTTAAGGAAGCTATGTAGTGTGAAGTTTGTTTCGTTGAGCATGTAAGCAGCAAATTGTAATATTGTGTATCTTTCAAATACAACCGACACCAATGTTATTTGCGAGTTGCATGTTACTGTAGTAGCATAAGAACGTGGAATAAATTGTTAAGGAAGCTATGTAGTGTGAAGTTTGTGTCAAACGTCAAGGAAGCAAGTGATGAGCCTCATACAGACAGTGTCAGGAAAGTTGTAATCTTTGAATGATGACATATTCGCCGTCATGCAATAGCAATTGATTACTGTATATATTGTGCTGATATCATGTCCTTCTTTTTTACACAATAAGATGACCAAGATACATACCTTCTCAGAGTCATGCGTCTGAATGTATCACATCCCGTCGCTCAGTCACATGGTCAAAGTATTATGTTGAGCTTTACCGCTTCTCCATCATGTCAAAACGGTCATTTCGACCATCACTCTACCTCCCACTTCGAGCGTCTTCAAGACTTGCCTTGGAGTGAAATGTCGTGACGGAGAAGGCCTGGATAACATCACAATCACGACACGGAGCTCATTCATCAACTTGCGAGCAACAAACTAGCGTCCCGCCACCACTACCGACTTTCCAATTTACCATGAAACCTGCCGCTACATTCGCGACATTCCTGGCGCTGAGCATGTTTGTTGCAACGGATAGTGCGCCAAATGCACCTGTACTTCGTAGCCTACGTATGAACGCGGACATACCCGCGGTCAAAGAAGATACCGATGAAAGCAGGAAGGACCACCACCATCACCATGTTAAGAAAGTCAAGAAAATCGCGATTCCTGTCCCTGTAGAGGTACCACAGTTCATTCCTGTTCCCGTCAGCATCCCTTCTACAGTGGTGGCCAGCTCCGACACTGCCGTCGTTGACTCCACCACGAATGTCGTCTCCAACAACGTCGCCGCCACCGATGTTGTTGCCCCAGTTGCATTAGGGACCAACGTGGCACCGGTACCTGGAGCTCACAGCGAGAGGTAAATGGAAGATTCTGGGAACGTGACGGATCAAGAGCCACGCCAGCACCAACAAGAAGCTTTGCTAGTGTTGGTCCATCTAGATCGCAACAGCCAGGAGCTGCCTCAGCCGTCCCTCAGTCTGGTGACGTAGGTATGGCCGGGGCTCCATCGCCGCCAGGTTTCGGAAATAACAACAATGCGCTTGGAGCTGGACTCGGCGCTCCAGGTGCTGCTGGTGGACTTCTTGGAAACACCGGTGGGTTTGGCGGAAATACCATGGGCGCCCTCGGTGGTGGCTTCAACGGCGGTGGCAATCGAATGCCAGGTTTCGGTGGTCGTGGTGGTGGTTTTGCTGGTGGTAGTAATATGTTCGGTGGAGCTGGTGTTGGCATGGGTGGCTTCAACGGGAATGGTGCAAGTGGATTCGGACAGCAGATGGGGTTCGGTGCACAAGGTGGAAATGGGTTTGTTGGGATCGGAGGACAGGGTGCAAGGGGGAACTTTGGTCAGAGTGGCAACAATGGGTTCATCGGTGGCCAGACTGGATTTGGAGGTGCCGGTACGGCTAGTGGCAATGCGTTTGGTCGTGAAGGCTTTAATCGCCGCGAGCGTCAGCGTCGTCGTTGACGGACAAGAGGTACAACCCAGCTTTGGCTACTGCTTATTTGTTTCGTTGAGCACGTAAGCAGCAAATTGTAATATTGTGTATCTTTCAAATACAACCGACACCAATGTTATTTGCGAGTTGCATGTTACTGTAGTAGCATAAGAACGTGGAATAAATTGTTAAGGAAGCTATGTAGTGTGAAGTTTGTGTCAAACGTCAAGGAAGCAAGTGATGAGCCTCATACAGACAGTGTCAGGAAAGTTGTAATCTTTGGAATGATGACATATTCGCCGTCATGCAATAGCAATTGATTACTGTATATATCGTGCTGATATCATGTCCTTCTTTGTACACAATAAGATGACCAAGATACATACGTTCTCAGAGTCATGCGTCTGAATGTATCACATCCCGTCGCTCAGTCACATGGTCAAAGTATTATGTTGAGCTTTACCGCTTCTCCATCATGTCAAAACGGTCATTTCGACCATCACTCTACCTCCCACTTCGAGCGTCTTCAAGACTTGCCTTGGAGTGAAATGTCGTGACGGAGAAGGCCTGGATAACATCACAATCACGACACGGAGCTCATTCATCAACTTGCGAGCAACAAACTAGCGTCCCGCCACCACTACCGACTTTCCAAGTTACCATGAAACCTGCCGCTACATTCGCGACATTCCTGGCGCTGAGCATGTTTGTTGCAACGGATAGTGCGCCAAATGCACCTGTACTTCGTAGCCTACGTATGAACGCGGACATACCCGCGGTCAAAGAAGATACCGATGAAAGCAGGAAGGACCACCACCATCACCATGTTAAGAAAGTCAAGAAAATCGCGATTCCTGTCCCTGTAGAGGTACCGCAGATCATTCCTGTTCCCGTCAGCATCCCTTCTACAGTGGTGGCCAGCTCCGACACTGCCGTCGTTGACTCCACCACGAATGTCGTCTCCAACAACGTCGCCGCCACCGATGTTGTTGCCCCAGTTGCATTAGGGACCAACGTGGCACCGGTACCTGGAGCTGCCACGCCAGCTCCGACGAGTGTAAATAGACCTCCCCCCCCCCCCTCTGCGGAAAGGGGGCCCCGGCCCCCCAAGCCACGCCAGCACCAACAAGAAGCTTTGCTAGTGTTGGTCCATCTAGATCGCAACAGCCAGGAGCTGCCTCAGCCGTCCCTCAGTCTGGTGACGTAGGTATGGCCGGGGCTCCATCGCCGCCAGGTTTCGGAAATAACAACAATGCGCTTGGAGCTGGACTCGGCGCTCCAGGTGCTGCTGGTGGACTTCTTGGAAACACCGGTGGGTTTGGCGGAAATACCATGGGCACCCTCGGTGGTGGCTTCAACGGCGGTGGCAATCGAATGCCAGGTTTCGGTGGTCGTGGTGGTGGTTTTGCTGGTGGTAGTAATATGTTCGGTGGAGCTGGTGTTGGCATGGGTGGCTTCAACGGGAATGGTGCAAGTGGATTCGGACAGCAGATGGGGTTCGGTGCACAAGGTGGAAATGGGTTTGTTGGGATCGGAGGACAGGGTGCAAGGGGGAACTTTGGTCAGAGTGGCAACAATGGGTTCATCGGTGGCCAGACTGGATTTGGAGGTGCCGGTACGGCTAGTGGCAATGCGTTTGGTCGTGAAGGCTTTAATCGCCGCGAGCGTCAGCGTCGTCGTTGACGGACAAGAGGTACAACCCAGCTTTGGCTACTGCTTATTTGTTTCGTTGAGCACGTAAGCAGCAAATTGTAATATTGTGTATCTTTCAAATACAACCGACACCAATGTTATTTGCGAGTTGCATGTTACTGTAGTAGCATAAGAACGTGGAATAAATTGTTAAGGAAGCTATGTAGTGTGAAGTTTGTTTCGTTGAGCATGTAAGCAGCAAATTGTAATATTGTGTATCTTTCAAATACAACCGACACCAATGTTATTTGCAAGTTGCATGTTACTGTAGTAGCATAAGAACGTGGAATAAATTGTTAAGGAAGCTATGTAGTGTGAAGTTTGTGTCAAACGTCAAGGAAGCAAGTGATGAGCCTCATACAGACAGTGTCAGGAAAGTTGTAATCTTTGAGCAATGATGACATATTCGCCGTCATGCAATAGCAATTGATTACTGCACACAATAAGATGACCAAGACACATACGTTCTCAGAGTCATGCGTCTGAATGTATCACATCCCGTCGCTCAGTCACATGGTCAAAGTATTATGTTGAGCTTTACCGCTTCTCCATCATGTCAAAACGGTCATTTCGACCATCACTCTACCTCCCACTTCGAGCGTCTTCAAGACTTGCCTTGGAGTGAAATGTCGTGACGGAGAAGGCCTGGATAACATCACAATCACGACACGGAGCTCATTCATCAACTTGCGAGCAACAAACTAGCGTCCCGCCACCACTACCGACTTTCCAAGTTACCATGAAACCTGCCGCTACATTCGCGACATTCCTGGCGCTGAGCATGTTTGTTGCAACGGATAGTGCGCCAAATGCACCTGTACTTCGTAGCCTACGTATGAACGCGGACATACCCGCGGTCAAAGAAGATACCGATGAAAGCAGGAAGGACCACCACCATCACCATGTTAAGAAAGTCAAGAAAATCGCGATTCCTGTCCCTGTAGAGGTACCGCAGATCATTCCTGTTCCCGTCAGCATCCCTTCTACAGTGGTGGCCAGCTCCGACACTGCCGTCGTTGACTCCACCACGAATGTCGTCTCCAACAACGTCGCCGCCACCGATGTTGTTGCCCCAGTTGCATTAGGGACCAACGTGGCACCGGTACCTGGAGCTGCCACGCCAGCTCCGACGAGTGTAAATGGACGTCCAGCCGCAGCTTCTGCGGCAACGGTGACCCGGCCATCAAGAGCCACGCCAGCACCAACAAGAAGCTTTGCTAGTGTTGGTCCATCTAGATCGCAACAGCCAGGAGCTGCCTCAGCCGTCCCTCAGTCTGGTGACGTAGGTATGGCCGGGGCTCCATCGCCGCCAGGTTTCGGAAATAACAACAATGCGCTTGGAGCTGGACTCGGCGCTCCAGGTGCTGCTGGTGGACTTCTTGGAAACACCGGTGGGTTTGGCGGAAATACCATGGGCACCCTCGGTGGTGGCTTCAACGGCGGTGGCAATCGAATGCCAGGTTTCGGTGGTCGTGGTGGTGGTTTTGCTGGTGGTAGTAATATGTTCGGTGGAGCTGGTGTTGGCATGGGTGGCTTCAACGGGAATGGTGCAAGTGGATTCGGACAGCAGATGGGGTTCGGTGCACAAGGTGGAAATGGGTTTGTTGGGATCGGAGGACAGGGTGCAAGGGGGAACTTTGGTCAGAGTGGCAACAATGGGTTCATCGGTGGCCAGACTGGATTTGGAGGTGCCGGTACGGCTAGTGGCAATGCGTTTGGTCGTGAAGGCTTTAATCGCCGCGAGCGTCAGCGTCGTCGTTGACGGACAAGAGGTACAACCCAGCTTTGGCTACTGCTTATTTGTTTCGTTGAGCACGTAAGCAGCAAATTGTAATATTGTGTATCTTTCAAATACAACCGACACCAATGTTATTTGCGAGTTGCATGTTACTGTAGTAGCATAAGAACGTGGAATAAATTGTTAAGGAAGCTATGTAGTGTGAAGTTTGTTTCGTTGAGCATGTAAGCAGCAAATTGTAATATTGTGTATCTTTCAAATACAACCGACACCAATGTTATTTGCGAGTTGCATGTTACTGTAGTAGCATAAGAACGTGGAATAAATTGTTAAGGAAGCTATGTAGTGTGAAGTTTGTGTCAAACGTCAAGGAAGCAAGTGATGAGCCTCATACAGACAGTGTCAGGAAAGTTGTAATCTTTGAGCAATGATGACATATTCGCCGTCATGCAATAGCAATTGATTACTGAAACCACCTTCTTTTACACAATAAGATGACCAAGACACATACGTTCTCAGAGTCATGCGTCTGAATGTATCACATCCCGTCGCTCAGTCACATGGTCAAAGTATTATGTTGAGCTTTACCGCTTCTCCATCATGTCAAAACGGTCATTTCGACCATCACTCTACCTCCCACTTCGAGCGTCTTCAAGACTTGCCTTGGAGTGAAATGTCGTGACGGAGAAGGCCTGGATAACATCACAATCACGACACGGAGCTCATTCATCAACTTGCGAGCAACAAACTAGCGTCCCGCCACCACTACCGACTTTCCAATTTACCATGAAACCTGCCGCTACATTCGCGACATTCCTGGCGCTGAGCATGTTTGTTGCAACGGATAGTGCGCCAAATGCACCTGTACTTCGTAGCCTACGTATGAACGCGGACATACCCGCGGTCAAAGAAGATACCGATGAAAGCAGGAAGGACCACCACCATCACCATGTTAAGAAAGTCAAGAAAATCGCGATTCCTGTCCCTGTAGAGGTACCGCAGATCATTCCTGTTCCCGTCAGCATCCCTTCTACAGTGGTGGCCAGCTCCGACACTGCCGTCGTTGACTCCACCACGAATGTCGTCTCCAACAACGTCGCCGCCACCGATGTTGTTGCCCCAGTTGCATTAGGGACCAACGTGGCACCGGTACCTGGAGCTGCCACGCCAGCTCCGACGAGTGTAAATGGACGTCCAGCCGCAGCTTCTGCGGCAACGGTGACCCGGCCATCAAGAGCCACGCCAGCACCAACAAGAAGCTTTGCTAGTGTTGGTCCATCTAGATCGCAACAGCCAGGAGCTGCCTCAGCCGTCCCTCAGTCTGGTGACGTAGGTATGGCCGGGGCTCCATCGCCGCCAGGTTTCGGAAATAACAACAATGCGCTTGGAGCTGGACTCGGCGCTCCAGGTGCTGCTGGTGGACTTCTTGGAAACACCGGTGGGTTTGGCGGAAATACCATGGGCGCCCTCGGTGGTGGCTTCAACGGCGGTGGCAATCGAATGCCTGGTTTCGGTGGTCGTGGTGGTGGTTTTGCTGGTGGTAGTAATATGTTCGGTGGAGCTGGTGTTGGCATGGGTGGCTTCAACGGGAATGGTGCAAGTGGATTCGGACAGCAGATGGGGTTCGGTGCACAAGGTGGAAATGGGTTTGTTGGGATCGGAGGACAGGGTGCAAGGGGGAACTTTGGTCAGAGTGGCAACAATGGGTTCATCGGTGGCCAGACTGGATTTGGAGGTGCCGGTACGGCTAGTGGCAATGCGTTTGGTCGTGAAGGCTTTAATCGCCGCGAGCGTCAGCGTCGTCGTTGACGGACAAGAGGTACAACCCAGCTTTGGCTACTGCTTATTTGTTTCGTTGAGCACGTAAGCAGCAAATTGTAATATTGTGTATCTTTCAAATACAACCGACACCAATGTTATTTGCGAGTTGCATGTTACTGTAGTAGCATAAGAACGTGGAATAAATTGTTAAGGAAGCTATGTAGTGTGAAGTTTGTGTCAAACGTCAAGGAAGCAAGTGATGAGCCTCATACAGACAGTGTCAGGAAAGTTGTAATCTTTGAGCAATGATGACATATTCGCCGTCATGCAATAGCAATTGATTACTGACACAATAAGATGACCAAGACACATACGTTCTCAGAGTCATGCGTTTGAATGTATCACATCCCGTCGCTCAGTCACATGGTCAAAGTATTATGTTGAGCTTTACCGCTTCTCCATCATGTCAAAACGGTCATTTCGACCATCACTCTACCTCCCACTTCGAGCGTCTTCAAGACTTGCCTTGGAGTGAAATGTCGTGACGGAGAAGGCCTGGATAACATCACAATCACGACACGGAGCTCATTCATCAACTTGCGAGCAACAAACTAGCGTCCCGCCACCACTACCGACTTTCCAATTTACCATGAAACCTGCCGCTACATTCGCGACATTCCTGGCGCTGAGCATGTTTGTTGCAACGGATAGTGCGCCAAATGCACCTGTACTTCGTAGCCTACGTATGAACGCGGACATACCCGCGGTCAAAGAAGATACCGATGAAAGCAGGAAGGACCACCACCATCACCATGTTAAGAAAGTCAAGAAAATCGCGATTCCTGTCCCTGTAGAGGTACCGCAGATCATTCCTGTTCCCGTCAGCATCCCTTCTACAGTGGTGGCCAGCTCCGACACTGCCGTCGTTGACTCCACCACGAATGTCGTCTCCAACAACGTCGCCGCCACCGATGTTGTTGCCCCAGTTGCATTAGGGACCAACGTGGCACCGGTACCTGGAGCTGCCACGCCAGCTCCGACGAGTGTAAATGGACGTCCAGCCGCAGCTTCTGCGGCAACGGTGACCCGGCCATCAAGAGCCACGCCAGCACCAACAAGAAGCTTTGCTAGTGTTGGTCCATCTAGATCGCAACAGCCAGGAGCTGCCTCAGCCGTCCCTCAGTCTGGTGACGTCGGTATGGCCGGAGTTCCATCGCCGCCAGGTTTTGGAAATAACAACAATGCGCTTGGAGCTGGACTCGGCGCTCCAGGTGCTGCTGGTGGACTTCTTGGAAACACCGGTGGGTTTGGCGGAAATACCATGGGCGCCCTCGGTGGTGGCTTCAACGGCGGTGGCAATCGAATGCCAGGTTTCGGTGGTCGTGGTGGTGGTTTTGCTGGTGGTAGTAATATGTTCGGTGGAGCTGGTGTTGGCATGGGTGGCTTCAACGGGAATGGTGCAAGTGGATTCGGACAGCAGATGGGGTTCGGT